ATTTATATTAAAACCCAATAGTTAGTAATAGAAGTTTATTCAAATTTAATATAATAAGGCAGTTTTAAACCAAAATGCTTTCAGTTACCTCATTTTAAGTATTCTTTGGTATGGTTCAATAAATGACAAGAGTATTTTGTCTTCTAAGTAAAGTATGTTAGTTTTGAGATTATTTTAAGATTATTTTGTATAGTGAAATTTGATGCCTTTCTAAAGCTAATGATGAGATTTGCAGTAATTTTTTGCTGGTAAAATATTATGTTCTCAAAAAGTACTTTAAAACATATAAATTAATTGTTACGGCTGATGCTGAAGTTTGGCTGATGTTGAAGCTAAAAAATCTGATTGGCTCAATTTTGCAGATCATTCTAACCCTAACCAATCAGATTTTTTAGCTTCAACATCAGCCAAACTTTAGCATCAGCCGTCATATTAATTATCTGAGCAATTGATTTACACTAGCCAATTAGACAACCTTCTGTCTATGACAATTAAGAGATCCTTTTTCTTCTAGACCTGGTGGCCTGATTGGTGGGATGCTTGCTATACACCTCGATCCTATTTAGTTTTCTAGTTTTTTCTAATAATAATCCTTTATGTAGTACTATCAAAAGTTTGTGCTATCTCTCTACTCGGGTTTTGCCTAACAGTTATCTGTAACTTCAATTCCTTGGTTTTATATAGATCATCAGAACAATAATCTTTTCAGATATATTAATATCTGGTACAACTTTGATTACAGATTAGCAATTCAACTTATTATTACAGTAACTATTTTACGACAGAAAATTTAAATTTCATCGATAGTAGAATTCGAACTCTAGATGTGCTGCTTGGAGTGCGACAACTTCACTACTTCACTAAATCATCACACTCTCCAAATTTTAATTTTATTAGTAACTTTAAAAAGAAATAATATAAAATTTTGCTATATTTAAAAATAAACTCAATAGATTTGTTTTGCTTGTTGATTTGTATATTTTATAAAAAAATTTTTTCTTTTAATTATATTTTTTATTTTTTTATAAAAGTTTAAAGAATTATTAGTTTTTAGTTGCTAATTTAAGGATTTCTGCACTGTATAAACAGATATCTATCTCTTTAGTTTCTTAATTTTATATATTTCTTAAAACTTATTATAGGTTTGTATTTACAAGAGTTAATAATAGTTGTAAAAGTTTTAATATTAAATTGAGGAATATTACGAATATTTTTAAGTTAAAGGAATTTATTAAAGGTTTCAATAAAAATTAGGTTTTTGGTAAATTTACGAATTTGTAAAGTGAATAAAGTATTATACCATAAAAAGGAGAGGAATGTTATAAGATGATTTAGGTTAAGTTCAATAGGATGTCTGTTTGTACCTCTTTTTGCAAGAATGTCAGTATTTCGGTTTAGAATATTTTTAGAATGTGCTTTAACTTTGTATATAGTTAAAGATATATTTTTCTTTTGAAGAAGATTATTAATTATATGTAGATAGTCCCAGTTTTCAGTTTTGATTTGTGTTAAGTGGTAATAATATAAGTTTTTTAGAATTTGAATTGTGAAGGAGTTATCACAGTGAATATGTATATGCAGATTTTGCAGTAAAGAAAGAAGTATGAAAATAATTGGTGCTAGTTCAGCTCTTGTAGTATTAGAGGCATTTGTAATATTTGCAGAAAATTTAATTTTGGTATTGTTTTCTAAGATCCAGCCAATACCAGATTGAAGATTTGGTGTTTGGGTATTTTTAATTGATGAATCTATATAAAAGTGGAGATCTTCTAATGAGTTTAGTTGTATTTGTTTGTAGATACTAATAAGTTCTGTTTGATATACTGGAGTAATAATAGAGTTATTTATAAGTTCGATAATTGGGTTTTGTATTTGAATATAAGTGTTTTCTAAGGTAACTAGATAGTGTAAAGAAGGGGAAATTTGTGATAGAGATAATATTTCTTGGTAATCAATTGAGAATTTAAAAAGTTGTTTTTCTTTTTGACTTTTACAAAGGAAGTTAATTGTAGATGCAAAAAAAATTGTAGATATTTGTGAGGAGAGTTAAAGAGTTATAATACCAGAAGATTTTTGAAGAATAAAGTAGTTTTCGAAAAGAAAGTTGTTTTGTATTATGGAAATAATTTTTCCTATCTGTAAGTTAAATGTGAAGAGAAGAATTGTCCAGTTATTTTTTTTAGAGATAGTGGATAGTGTTGAGGTTAGTGCGAGTGTATTGATAAATAGATTAATATTTTCGAGTTGGATTGATAGCCAAACTGAGAATAGTGAGTTATTAGTTATTAAATTTTTTATATATTTGTACCAAGAAGGAATTGGTCCTCTGGGTAATTTATGTGTTCGAAGATAGATGTTATTCTATGGTAGCAGATATTGATTATCAGCTATAAGAAGTTGTTTGATATAAAGTATTTGATTATTTTTAAGACTTTGAATAGTTGATAGTTTAGAATTTGTAGGTATGAAATTGTAGATTATATTTAGTTTAGTACTGCTTGAGAAATT